GGGTCCTCCCCCACGGAAGGGAACTTCATCTGGGGGTGGCTGGGAGTGGCTGGCTGGCAGCGCCCGGTGGAGCTTCCCCCACTGCCCCCCCAGACCCCTCCATGAACAGCATGTTCCTCCGACTGTTATTTTTAATGCATTTATCCTGACGCTTAATTTATCCCGCATTGTGATCTGATTTAGCCAAGAGCACTCAGCACTGGGTCTGCATATTCATGAGCCAGTTCATTCATGCTACCCAGAGGATGTCAGGTAGGCAGCCATGGACAAAGGCCCGGGTCCAGGATCTCACTGCAACAAAGGCTATCGTGGGCTGGAGGTTAAGTGCCCAAGCTGCAGCTAGGCAGGCTATGAGTGCAAGGTACACTTCGTGTTTGGGAGTGCCACTGTGCCCAGGCTCTGGAACCAAAGTGGTTTAAACCCTTTCTTTCCATGGCTGATGAGGATACATTGTCTCCAGCAGAAGGGGTCAGTGTGCCTACTGGCCTTGAAGGATAAGAAGGGATCATTCGTGTGCAAGGCACACGGCTTCTTTTTTCTATGTTTACGGGGTGTGTGTGGGTACAAGTATGTGCTCATGTATGTGTGCATGCATGTACAGGTCACAGGTCAACCTCAGGGCCACACACCTTGCTTTTTGACAGGGTCTCTCCTTGGCCTGAAAGCATGCAGGCTAGGCCAGGCCGGTCGGCTGGTGAACCTTAGGAATCTACCTTCCTCTGCCCGCCCCCCCCAGCATCAGGGTGACGCGGTGCGAGCATGCCCCGCTGTTTTCGCGTAGGTTCTGGAGACTGAACTCAGAGCCTCACACTTGACAGCAAGCGCTTTGCTGTCTGAGTCATCTCCCAGCCCCACGGTGATTTGCTCGATACATTTCCCTGTCACCCCGACAGTTACTATTGAGCAGTGGTTCCTCGTGGGGTTTTGGCTTTACAAAGATGGAAGAAGATGGCATGAATACTTGGGAATCTGAGGGACTTGATGAACCCCAGGAGGAGAGAGCATCAGTTCATCAGTCATCCCAAAGCAGATCTGAGGGCCCTACCTCTGTGTGCACACATAGAGGAAAGAAGAGAGCCCTTGCCCTGGCCTCCTGGTTACTGTATGGAAAGCGGCATGGGCTCGGCTAAGCTACCTCAGCACCAGAGGGCTGGCAAGAGCAGTTTCTCCGTCTGGCATAATAGTCTTCAAGGGCTCGAGGCAGTAACAGGAGGTTAGATTTCCAAGCAGGAATAAGAAATCAGCAGCCACTCTTGGCCATTTACGGGGCTCCCATTCCTGCCAATCTTCATGGCCATGGCATGAGAGAGCAGTTACTCAATTGTAGGTGGCGGGCCTGATATGCAGAGAGCCAAGGGCTGAGTTAGCCTGGCTAAGCCCATGGGTTTGTGAGTCAGAATACCTTTGCTACAACATTCTCAGGGTGCCCTTTACCTGCCGTGTGTCCTCTGTGCCTCGGTGGCTTCACTCACATTTCAGGACCGCATCTTGTGACTTTTAAATATGGCTCTAAGGCTTGCTGAGGCAGTCCGCACAACTTAGCCATGCTCACCACGGTGCTAAATGGTGCTCCTGAACCCACTTCCTCCTTCACATTCCGAAGAAACACTATCCTTCTAGACTTTCTTACGAGAACATGGGCTCCCTGAGGGCAGGGACCGTGTCTGTCTTGTTAATTGCTGTGACCCGGGGTTACTTGGTAGTGTTGGCTGAGTAAGACTGTCTGGGTAGTATTTGGGAAGCTACACAGTGCTAAATAGTAGATCTTATTCTCTGTCTTCAGCTTGCTTCATAAAGCATCAAAGAGACAAGTGTCCCCAACAGGTCTTAGTTGTCACTGCTGTGTGTCACGGTCCACCCTGCTGTGCAGACCTGGTCCTTAGGGAATTAGAGGAAGCTTCTGTTCACATGGATGCTAAGAGGTGAGGAGAGGAGGTGAGGAGGAGGCTGGGCTCCCGGAGCAAGTACCAGGACAGCTGCAGACTTTGCTTCCCCCAGCCTGGGGGGCCTAGAAAGCTCTTTGCTCTTATCACTTGGAAATCTTCAGATCTTTAGAGACCAGGGGGCCTAGAGTCTGCAGCCTGCCTAAAGTGGACTGGGGTGAGAGGCTGCCACTGGAGACTCCCTTACACAGGACAGTGGTTCCCAACCTCACTCTCGTCCGGATCTGCAATTTCTTGGAAGAGTTAGTTACTCAAGTGGTCCAAGAGTCACCAAACGGCTGACCTTGAACACAGTGAGTCTGCTGCACCCAGCAGTTTCCATGACTGTCACCCCACCTCCTTGCTGGAGCTCACAGAGCTGCTGGAGCCTCTCTGGCCTGCACACAGACACACAGAAGTAACTGATGAGCCAGTCACTCAGCTGACGGCAGCCTGAGCTCCAGCCACAGCCGCCCCGCCCCGTGGGCCTCACCATCTGTGTGGCTCAGTGTCTGGGACTCCACCCAGCTCTGCCTGAGTGCACTAGGGCTAGAGTCTCCAGGACAGGGAACTCCCAACCCCCATCCCAGATGGCTGGCAGGACCGTCCCCTCTAGGTAGGACAACCATCTGTGGCAGTGGCTTCCACTTTTGCTTCCCTTCCTCTCATGGCTTTCTCCTTCTCCCAAGTTCGTTAACCACTTGCACCAAACCCTCTCAGGGCCAGCATTTGGGAAGCCCAAGCTGAGGGCCTCCCTCAGACACGCTGCCACTCCCACACACATTCTTCTTCATTACATTTGTTTATTTATGCATATGGAGGGCACACCCAGAGTGGCACTCAGGTAGAAGTCAGAGACCATGTGGAGCCAGTGGATAGTGGGGAGCCAGCTGCACCTCCACTCCTAGACAGGAGTCAGGCGCAAATCCTGAGCTGAGGACTCTATATTGAACCAGGGAGGTGCTGATTTCTCTTAGCAGTCACTGGGTAAGCACCTACTGTATACTGAAGTTGTTTTGTTTTGTTTTGTTGTTTTATTTTGGTTTTGGTTTTTGAAGGCAGGGTTTCTCTGTGTAGCCTCCTGGAACTCACTCTGTAGACCAGGCTGGCCTCGAACTCACAGAGCTCTGCCTGCCTCTGCCTCCCAAATGCTGGGATTAAAGTTGTGTTCCACCACCACCCAGCTTGTATACTGAAGTTTTAAAACGTAAGTAAGAATAGGTGTACTTGGCCTGGGGAGGTCAGAGCTTACAGAGGAAGAGAGATTTGTCAACCTGTAGGTGGAGGATTGAGGTGTGTTCAGGAGAACCTGGCAGGTGGAGCCATCCTTAAGACACATTATTAAGCCCTTGCTGTATACAAAGCACTGTGTGGATGGAAGCAGTGAGAGGAAACATTTATTAAGCTCTGAGTGTGTGCCAGGCTGAGAAGTTTCCTCCCATCTTTTGCCTCAGGTCTTCTCATAAGAAGCCCGTGAAGTGGGAGCCATTGGTGTATCTACCATGTGGAAAAGGTCCAGAGGGTGACGTAACTTCTAAGATCACAGAGCTGGGAGTGGCGGGGCTGGGCTTCAAGAACCTGGATCTGTCACATTCCTAACCCCCAACACTATTTTTTCCCCTCAAATCAGACCAAGGTCTGTGGCTTTTGTCTTAGACACCCACTGAGTGAACCAGTTTTAAAGAGAGCAAGCCTTGGAAGCAAACCAGGCCAGGCTCCCAGCAGGCCTTCACCTGGGTCCAGCTCCTACAGGGAAGCCCTGATCCTCAGCAGGGGCTGAGCCTGGCCTGTGACCTGCCTGCAGGAATACAGGACACCCGGAGTTGCCCCCATTTCACCCTGAAGGGTCAGAGAGGGGGCTGGACCGGAATCCTCTTGTCTTTGTTCATTGGTCTCAGATACGAACTGATTCAAGACTTGGTAAAAGCCCCTGGCTTGGACATGCCTCATGACCTAGCCAAAGGTCACCAACGCAGGACCTGACTGATGATAGGAGAGTGTTCTGTTCCTGTCAAAAATGGGGGACAGGCTGGGGCTTTGTTGGAAGGGTTCTTGCCTAGTGTACCCAAAACCCTGGGCTCCATCCTCAGCACTACCTAAAAACAGATATGTTAACACACACCTGAAACCCCAGCACTCAGGAGGTGGAGGCAGAAAGCTCAGAAGTTCGAGGTCATCCTTGGTTACATAAGTTAGATGCCAACCTGGGCAGTGTAAAACCCTGTCTCCAAGCAACGCAAGCACCTTGATGCTTAGTGGTAGAAACACACTATCCAGTGTGCTCGCTGACTCAGTGGTCATACATTCAGGCAGGGCACAGTGGAAACCGTGCTGTCGTGGTTTCTGACCTGGGTAGACTCAGGGCCACAGTGACTTGATGCTGGAGTTAATGTCTGACAGGTGAGACCTCAGCTGGGCTGCCAGTCCTAACATCGCCATGGCCCTGAGGCTGTCTCTTTCTGAAGAGGGCTAGATTGAGCTTCCCAGCGTGGTGCTTGGGTTACAAGCACAAGAGATCCAGGAGCACTGAGCGGAAGCTGCAAGGCCTCTATGACCTGATCTTGAAAATCACATGGTTACAGTACTTCCACCATAGTCACGGCTCACACAAATGACTCAGATCTCCTCTCGGGGTGACAGCATGTAGAACTAGAGGTACCACTGCGGGCTTCTTTGGTCACGTTATTTTCCACAAATATAAACGACCACTGAAGTCAACAGGTGGCAGATGGCATCAAACTTGAACCTTGTGGGTGAGCAGCTTCCTCGAGGGGGAGAGCAGCACCGGACAGGGCAGTGGTCTGGTTAGATGCAGTGTGGCTTGCAGGTCACTTCCAAGATGTGGGCTACAGGACTTGCGGTGGCAAGGCACAGCTGCGCTGGCCGGAACAGAGCCTCGTGTGTTTGTCTGCCCGGTCCTCATCCACAGCCACCTACCTGACTACCCACCTACTCACTCATCTCGGCATCCTTTCCCTTACCCTGCCCCAGCTGCAGGCCTCCGTTAGTTCTGGTGTAGCTCAGTTGACTCAGCTGTAAGCTGTCCCTCACAAACCTCACAGGATTATTTGAGTCAATCAGCCAGTAGATGGAAAGTTTGCAGAGCGGTCCCCAGGATATAGTAAGTACTCCATGAGTATTAGTACCCGGAATGTTACTGCTCTGTGAACGTTTGCTATTCAGCAAATGTAATTTATTGTTATCATCACTGCTATTGTTATTCATCTTCCATTTTGTTGTTTGTCAGGACGGGGTTTCTCCGTGTGGCCCTGGCTGTCCTAGAATTCACTATGTACACACATTTCAGATCACATTTTGCTGTTCACTAAATGTGAGCCTTACCTGCTGTCTAACCTTTCCGGGTATTACATCACCATTATAGTTTTTATTTCTGAAGCACGGCTTGCTCTTTGTGTAGTCTCCTGCTCCTTGCTCGTTGTGGCAGCTTCCTGTATTATTTCTTTAGACAGACTGACTGTATTTATTTTACACGCTGGATCCTCCAGGGCCCATACTAGAGATCTTGGGGGAATCTGACCCTTTGTCTTGTGTTTTTCTGTTTAGCTTAAGATGGCTTTTTTTTTTGGTATATGTATGTGTGGTGCTTTGAATTTAATTTTGCTTCCCAGTTAGACCTGTGCCTATGGGAACTCACTGAAAACCATGCTAGTATTTGGGGAGAGTTGATTTTGCTTCTGTTGGGCACCTGGGAATATCATGAACTTCATTTTCATGTTTCTCACACTTTCAACAATTGCACTGCATCTTACAAAAAGTTAAGGCCATAAGTCTCAGGCTAAGGAGTCAGCTCAGGTCTTAGCTGGAGAGATAGGAAATTGGTGCAATGTTTGCCATGCAAGAGTGGAAACCTGAATTTGATCTCTCCCACTGATACCCTGACACCCCAGCACCAACGAAGCAAAGACAGGAGTATCCCTGTAGCTCACTGACCAGCTAACCTAACCTATTTGGAGAGACCGGGTCTTAGGGAGGGACCCTGTCTCAAAAACAAAATAAACAACAAGAACAATAACAAAAATCCTGGGGTGACGTCTCGGTGGATGAGATCATTTGCTACCCAAAAACAAGGAGCTGAGTTCATATCCTCAGAACCCATGTAACAGGCTGAGGGTGATTTGTGCGCGCCTGTAATGCCTTCTTCTGGAATGGTGGGGTGGAGACAAGAGGTGGCTGGAGCTTGCTGGCTGCCAACCTACTCCAGGATTTGTGAGAGAGCCTGTCTCAAAGAAACAATAGAGCAGGACACTCAGCGTTGTCCCCTGGCTTCTACACAAATGACATGTTAGACAAACAGGACTGTGTAGTATTGTCTGTGTGTGTTTCTGTGTGTATACGTGCGTGAGTGCATGCACCTACACACTGTATAACATGCATACTTGTGCACGCACACAATGTGAACATCTTCTAGGAAATGACAGGTCAATCTCTTGTCTCCATATACCTGCACACATGCATACTCATTCATATACATGAACACATAAAGACATAAATAATTTATAAGACTTAAGAGCACAATTTGATGAATATTTGACAAAATATTTAAATTAGGCATCATTATGGGAAACATACATATCTCCTCCATCCAGAGAGGAAACCACTGTTCTAATGGTTACTGGTTATGAAGTGGCATACAAATAGGACTGTGGAGCATTGTGTATATGCGTATTTGAGTGTGGACATGTGTGTATGTATATGTGTGTGAGTATGAGACCTGTACCAGCAGGTCATTCCATGGCAGATTGCTGAGAGAGAGAGAGAGGATTAGAGAATGAGAAGAGAGGAACGCTGGGGTCAGGAGGCCTTGCCCACGTGATATCTTACGCCAAGCATGTTCCTGGTTTAAGACAAGGGGCTACGTTCCTTTTCCATACATCTGGGCCTCAAGGAGAGCCTCGGATGAGTCTGGGTCCCATGTGTTTATGTGGCATGTGACTATGTGTGTGTATGTGGATGTGTGTGTATATGTGCATGTACGTGTATTTATGTGGCATGTGACTATGTGTGTGTATGTGGATGTATGTGTATATGTGCATGTACATGTGTTTATGTGGCATGTGGCTATGTGTGTATATGTAGATGTGTGTGTATATGTGCATGTACGTGTATTTATGTGGCATGTGACTATGTGTGTGGATGTGGATGTATGTGTATATGTGCATGTACGTGTGTTTATGTGGCATGTGACTATGTGTGTGTATGTAGATGTATGTGTATATGTGCATGTACGTGTGTTTATGTGGCATGTGACTATGTGTGTGGATGTGGATGTGTGTGTATATGTGCATGTACGTGTGTTTATGTGGCATGTGACTATGTGTGTGTATGTGGATGTGTGTGTATATGTGCATGTACGTGTATTTATGTGGCATGTGACTATGTGTGTGTATGTGGATGTATGTGTATATGTGCATGTACATGTGTTTATGTGGCATGTGGCTATGTGTGTATATGTAGATGTGTGTGTATATGTGCATGTACGTGTATTTATGTGGCATGTGACTATGTGTGTGGATGTGGATGTATGTGTATATGTGCATGTACGTGTGTTTATGTGGCATGTGACTATGTGTGTGTATGTAGATGTATGTGTATATGTGCATGTACGTGTGTTTATGTGGCATGTGACTATGTGTGTGGATGTGGATGTGTGTGTATATGTGCATGTACGTGTGTTTATGTGGCATGTGACTATGTGTGTGGATGTAGATGTGTGTGTATATGTGCATGTACGTGTGTTTATGTGGCATGTGACTATGTGTGTGGATGTAGATGTGTGTGTATATGTGCATGTACGTGTGTTTATGTGGCATGTGACTATGTGTGTATATGTAGATGTGTGTATATGTGCATGTACGTGTGTTTATGTTGTATTTGAATGTGCTTGTTTATGAAAGTGTGTGGTGTGAAGGCCAGAGGTCAAGGTCAGGTATTTTCCTCAGTAGCTTCTCTACTTGGGTTTTTGAGACAAAGTCTTCTATTGAGATTGGAGCTCACTGATTTAGGTAGACAAGGGATTGTCTCTGCTCCTCAGGGCTGGGCTTACAGGCACACACACCCCAGCCTCTCATGGGTGGTGGGCATCTGAATGTCGTCTGTCATGCTTGCGCAGTAAGCACTTCGTCTACCGGGCAGCATTCCTTATCCTGGCGATTGTCTGTGAGACTCACTCACGCATCTTCCATGGTGATAATTTGGCCTCCTCATTTCTGGGCACCGTTTGCTGCATGAGCATCCCACAGTTCATTCAAGCACTCTCCTGTTGATGGACATTTGGGTAGTCTCCAGGTTGTCACTATTACAAGTACAACTTCCATGAAATTCTGGTAAGACAATTTCTATGAGCATAGGACTTCCTTTTCTTGGTAAATACCCAGGAAATCACCTGGAAATGGAGTCCCTGGGTGCTGGCTGGGATGATGCTGCCAAAATTTTCTCAGGTGACTGTGACATATTCCTGAGAATTTCAAGGGCTTTGTCCTCACTGGCACTTGGCATGGCCAACCTTTAATTCTTGCTATCCTGACGAGATTGTAATGGGATTTAACTGTGGTCCTGATTTGTATTTTCTGGTAATTAATGGCCCAGAACTGTTTTTTTTACATAGGTCGGCGACACTGACAAATTTGATTTGCGCTCCCATCTGTCCCCCTCCCCCTTTCCCTGAATTTGGAATTAATTGGAATTCCCTGAAAAAGTAAAGTAGCTCCCTTCCCCATCTATGACTCTCGCAGCTTTGCTGGGACAGCGGTGAGCTTCCCAGGCAATTAGAAGAAGGTCTGCTGTGTGCCATTGTCTCATTTCCAGAGCAGAAACCCCAACTGCAGCCGGTGCCGAGCCGCTAACTGAACAGTTAATGGCATCCGCAAACATTTAACGAACGGCTCCTGCGAGCCCAGGAGGGGCAGCTCCAGGACACCACTGAGTCTGGGGCAGAGTCTCTAATGAAACTAATTGATATTTCTGCAGCAAAACACGTAAATATTCACACTAATTGGCATAAAATAGTTTCATAGTCATTGAGGTCAGATTTTTGCCCACATGTGAATCAACCGCCAATTAACTGCAAAGGAACCTTCTGTCTACAGGGATCCTTGGGTTCCAGGCTGCAGAGAAAGGATTGTGAGTCTGCATCAACGGCTTGTCCGTTCTGCAGATTCGGGATGACTTGGAAAATCCTGTCAAACTTTTGTGTATAGTGGTGACAATGATTTTGAACAAGATGGTTCCTTTGAGTTCTAGAAATCCATAGCCAAATTCAGAGAAATAAACGGACATGGGGATGAGCACCGGTGATCCCAGCACTGGGGCGGTGGCATGAGGGTCAGAGGTTGAAAGCCAGCCTCAGCTACTTGGTGAGTTCAAAGTCAACCTAGGCCACATAAGACCTTATCTTAAAGACAAAATGAAATGACAGTTACAAGTGGCTAAGGGGTGTGGTTACTGATAAGTTGCAAACTGAGGTTATTGAAGAAATGGGGTTTCTGGTTCCTTCCCTGCTGGTGGTGAGGGTTTTGTCTTACCTGGGACCCTGTGTCTATATCTCTAAGCAGCCAGTAGTGGTTGATGTAGAGGAAGTTTGTAGTGGCACTGCGTGGTCCAAAGTCACATGGCTGATTGCCACGGCGGCTCCCTCTTTCCACCTTGCTCATCCAAGCCCATCAGGTCACCACGCCTGACTTCTAAAACTCACAGCGTTTGGGGTTTTGTATCTAGATTGACCGTGAATGACCTTTTATGTGGGAGGCCAGATTTCATTTTCTCGTATGGATATCTAGTTTGGCAGCTCTTACCCCCTCCCCCATTTCAGAGGAGCCAGGCTGTGGCTCTGGTCTGGGACTCTATTCTGCATCCTGACCTGTGGCTCTCTTTCTGGACTGTCACCTCACTAATCGACTTACTGTGGTTGGTTTTCTGTGTGCAAGTGTATGTGTGTGATGCGCATGTGTTTGCACATTCACATGCTTGTGCCAGAGTGTATAGAGACCACAAGTCTATGTTGTGTTAACTTCTGTTCACCACTTTATTTTTTGAGACAGGGTCTCTCACTGAAGCCGGAACTCACTGAGTGGCTGGATTGGCTGGCCAGTGAGCCCTTTTCTC